CACATGCGCAAGCCGACTTAGTGGGGATTTCATGAAACGCAAAAACAAATCCAGATAAAAACCCAATCCCACCTTTACACGATTTCGTCATAGGTTTATATGGGATCACAGTTTACACAAAACTGGATTTGGTTAAGGCAGACTACCAAATTCTAGTGGCAGAAGAAGACATAAAGAAAACAGCTTGACCACTATTTTCAGACTTTAAGAGTTCACCAGGCTGCTATTTGAGTTACATAATGCTGCCTAAAATTTTCTTAGAGGATTGACTTTTGCTCTTGTTTATATCGATGACGTTCTTATCACTAGTCGAGATAGCAAAGAACATCAAGACCATATACAACTTTTCTAGAGACTGACACATTTCGGGTAGAAAAATCCATGTAAAGAAATGTGATTCTGCTGTTTCGAAATTGAATTTCTTGGGTCATGTGATCGGCAAACACGGAATCACACCGGTTCCAGAGAAATTAGCAGCAATACAACATTGGCCGCATCCAACATCACTACGACAACTGCGAAGATTTCTCGTTTAATAAACTACTACTGCAGATTTATTACAGGTTGTTCCAGAATTTTAATCGCAAACAATTTGCAAAAACGAAAGAATAAGAATGCAAAAATACTTGTCGACGGAGAAGCATTAACTGCATTTCATGACGCTAAAAAGGCGTTAGCAGATTTTATTAAACTCTCCTATATTATTATTGATGATGATGATAACTTACTGCTCACATTAACGACCAATGTCTCAGGAGATTCAATTCGAGCAGTTCTACATCAAAATCAAAATGGCTCTGAAAAGCCAATATCTTTTTTCTCAATAAAATTAAACAACGCACAACAAAATACAATACCTTCTCGAGAGAATTACTTGCAATTTCCTTATCCATAAGGTATTTCCGACATCTGCTCGAAGAACGAAATTTTACTGTTTTCTCTGATCACAAACCACTTACATCTTACACGTGAATGCAGGAAAATATACACAAGAGATACCCAAACTGGATTAAATATCCCAATTTACTTCGGATATCCGTCATATTGAAGGTTCAGATAACATGGTGACAGATACATTCTCGCACCTCACAATGCAGTCTATCGATTCTGATATCCTTACCTTCGACCTAATTGCTGATAAACAACAAAAAAATGCCACGTTAGACAAAGTAAAAGCGGATACTTTTTTACAGCTGAAAGAACCCCTCCCATCCCATTTGGAACAAAAACACAACTCCTTGATGTGGGGACTGGTTATCCAAGACCATAGATACCACCTTAACTGAGAAAAAAGATATTCAAACATTTTCACAACCTCTCACATCCTGAATACCGAGCTACTGTCAAGTATATTAGCAATTGTTTTGTCTGGCCCGATATGCGTACTGACATGAAAAAAAATAGACTCAAATCTGTTTAAATTGTCAAAAAAGCAAAGTAAACAGGCATAAAAAATCCACTTCTCGACAATTTATCAAACCAGAAGGTAGATTCACGTACCGACACAACGATATAATGGGACCCTTACCAGAAGCAAATGGATATCATTATCTACTCACTATTATCAATCGATTTACAAGATGATATGTCGTTGTTCCCCTGAGGAATATATCTGTATAAACAATCTTTAAAAGTATTTTGCAGGATTGAATAGCGATTTTTGGTTGTTCCTCAATAATAACTACAGATCGAGGGTCAATCTACACAAAGCTATTGGTAGTCAAGCACATAACAACAATAACATATCATCCATGTGCCAATGGCTTAGTTGAACATTTTCACAGGCAATTTAAGGAATGACTAACAGCCAATAATGATTCCAGGACATGGTTAGAAAATCTACCTCTGTTTTTATTATCCATCAGAAATGTCATCAAGGAAGATTTTGGATGCACAGCATCCGAAATGGTTTTAAGGACGTCCTTGATACGATCAAGACAGTTTTGCAATAAAAACAAATCACGTACAGCCGTTTGTATAAATCTTTAAACAACGAATGAATGATCTGGTTTTCACACCCATTAGGACACAAACAAAAGATATTTACACACCAAAAGATCTTCATACCAAAGTATGCGAACCATTTTCCACACCGGCAAACACGTCTGCAAAGATCAGTACAAAATCGGGTAAACAAGTACATTGCCCTACTCACTTCAAAACCTATGTTAGATACAGAAAAATATTTTAAATATTTATCAATATGCGGGGTGGGGGGAGGATAAAGAAAATACCATCCTATATTTTGCAACCAACAGGTGAAGCATAAATAAGTAAGAAACACCCATACATAAATAGGATCAGAATTACTAAAACAAAATCTTTTGTGCAAAAAATAAGATCCAAAATTAAATGAGTCGTTTCTGGGATTTGATTGGACACTACACTTAGGTGCTATACTTCCGACTACGTCCGTGCGTTTGAACTCCAAATGAACTGCTCGCTAGATGCTATCCCGCCTAAACCGAAAAGCTTTCGCTTGGAGACAATCACGTGATCAGGATAATTATATATACACCGATTTCGGGGCCAATAAAAAGACACAGGGCAAAGGCTCAGTCAGCTGCTGGACATGTTATCACCCGTCGATGACAAGCGGTTGCATCTGTAAACACGCGACCAGAATTCTCTCGTTAACATCACAATGCCTCAGTCAGCGACGAATACACACCATTCAAAGAAATATTCACACAACTCAAAGAAATATTCATAGCCGTGGAAAAAATCAAGTTTGATGATCTATCTGTATGTCCATTAACTTTTGGAACCACCGCAATCAGATTTCAGGTATTAACACTCACATACACACAACGTTTCTACTAATGTGCTTCAGCTACAAACACACGCACATTCAGTCAGCAGCCACGCATATACTCAGTTAATATGTGCTTCAGACACACGCACATTTATACACACTTTCTATTGACCAGGGCATATGACTTTATGAACTACCCTTTAACAAATGGGAAATTTTGTCAAATATTTGAACTTTCATTTTTATGAGAAGAAACACAATGTTTGCCATGTAAAAACAAATGTTAATATGTACATAAATATATGATTATGTCAATCTGCTTTTTCTTTTTGCCCATGTAAAATAATAATTTCTTCCCGTTATGTTGTATTTGTGGGCATGCCACTCGGATTTTAATTTTTCACTTTTAATCCGGGTAGACTGATCCTACAGCAGGATGAGCATACTAAGAACCATATGCTTTTACTGAGCCGGTGATAACTAAGGCTAACAGGAAGTGATTGAAAACGATGAGCAATCTAAAAAGTGCCTAAAATAAAAATGGGTTAAACAAAAGGAAGTAAAACAATGCAGTTTCTGTACTGTGGTTTAGAGAACAATACATACATACATACATATATATATATATATATATATATATATATATATATATATGTGTGTGTGTGTGTGTGTGTGTGTGTGTGTGTGGACGGTGTGTGTTTTGGGTGCCATCGACAGCTGTGCTAGCATAAAGTCGCAAGTCATCTTGGCCGAGGGCTAGAGAGTACTGGCCTTTTCAAACTATTGATCACGCTACATAACACGCTCTTTCCCAGAAACTGTAACTAAGGTCTGCTCAGTTGCAGTATAAATCATAGGTGGGCACCCAAATGCGCCTGAGCAAGCGTCTGCAAGAAGGATTGACTAGCCGCCCTAGTAGACAGCCACACACACACACACACACACACACATATATATATATATATATATATATATATATATATATATATATATACTGGATTTTCCTGTAGTTTTCGACCTATGAGGGCCAAGTAGCTCAGTTCTTAGTCAGCCTACACCCAAATATCATTTGATTATAGTGGTGAAGGGTTTTGCAGAATAGACCACACCTTTTGTAAGAGCCGAATACAGGGAATTGGTGCACAATTGGACACAAGGTCCCCCAACGACCCTAAGCAGGTTTTAAATTCAGATTTTTCCTTCTCCTAGACCGGTTGCAACTCAAGGCTATAGAACCCAGCCTGTCTTAGTTGTGGGGAGAAGATATGGATTCATACCTTTCACATGGGTATTAGTACGTAAGTGAATGTAATGAATTCGACTGGAATTCGAACTCGGCTCTCTGATTCCTCAATTCATTTCACCACCGTGCTTCCACACACACACACACACACACACACACACACACACACACACACACACACACACACATATATATATATATCAAAACAAGTAAGAAAAACAAAAACAACGGACAGTCATTTACATTATTTACATTGTTCCTATTGTTTTTTCTCTTCACGACCTTTCGGTCGTTGTACGGTCCGGTCGGAGCGTAAAACGGCCGAAACGACGGGAATATGGAAATAAAGATGAGGACAACAGTCCGAACAATACAAATAATTACAATACCTCATCTCAGAAATAGAGACAGATAACAAACAATCAAAAGTCAAAGATAGGTTAAAAAAATAATGGTAGCTCTTTTAAGTGAATAAAAGCGCGGGAAATGATCGGAAACAAAATGGCGGAGCTGATTCAAGTCAAGATGGCACAGCAAAATAACAAACTTACTCAGAACACTAAAAAGAAAGTACACAAGAAGAAATTTTGTCATCGTTACCGAGGCTCTTATTTATATTGGTACAACAATAATAAAGAAATAATATTAAATGTTTAAGAGAAAAAGGATTTTTTGTTTTCATATTAAATGAGAACATAGCATTGTGCTATTGAGCGATAATTTGAAGCGGGTAATTTCTATGTTTATATTAGAGAACAAAAAATGAAAGGAAACGGACATCTTGGAAATTAGTTAAAATCTTTAATTTTATATTTTTTCTAAAAGTTTATTTTACGTCGATACTTTTCTTCTGGGTGCACAATAGACAAAATGTTGATAATAACAAAAAGATGAGGATATTTCGAATTTCTTTTCTTCATTTCAAGCATATAAATAATTAGCTTCTTTTTTTCTTTTTTTTCTTTTTTTCTTTATTTTCGTTTTCTTCTTCTTCTTGTTTAGTTATTCTTCTTCTTCTTCTTCTTCTTCTTTTCTTCTTTTTTTAACTTCTTTCTTCTTCAGGTTCTTCTTTTTCTTTGGCTTCTTTTTTAGCTTCATCTTCTTCTTTCGCTTCTTTTTCTTTGACCTCTTCTTTTTTAACTTCTTTTTAGCTTCTTTTTCTTCTTTAGTTTCTTCTTTTTCTTTAGCTTCTTCTTCTTCTTTAACTTCTTCTTTAGCTTCTTTTCCTTTAGCTTCTTTGTCTTATCCTTCTTTTTCTTCTTTAGCTTCTCCTTCTTCTTCTTTGCTTTTGAACATGCCCGAGCATGGTCCTTGCCAACTTCCTATCCTTAACTCTTATTAATATTTGTATTTTTTACCATCTTCCTACTCCTCTCGTCCTGAGTATGACGATTCACTACATCCGGTAGCAAGTCCTCTGATCGGGAAATTGGAGGTTTTGAGGAACATGGAACCATCTCATAACTGCTGTTCTTCTCTGGTCCACCCTGTCCCCGGGGTGGTAGCACCTTTTAAGGTCCCAGCTATTTGCAAATACTGAACTCCCAAACAAAAATCAAAATTACATTTTTATAATAAAATGAGCAGCGTTACATTTTTATAGTAAAATAATAATGCAACGCTAAAAAAAAAAAAGACTTATATTTTTATGATCTACATGTTATATATATAAAATATATAATATAGACTTACATTATTATGTTATAAATATAAAAAGAAACTTACGTTTGCCCTGAAAGTATAAAATTATATACGAAAAATCTGTAGTTGAAAGCCTAAAATTAGGTAAAAAATATTTAGATTCCGGCATTAAATAACCCATAGAAGTGTTGATATGCCGTTAAACAAAATTAACTAAGCAACCCTACTCCCCGTTCTGCCATGCATTCCTATAAGTTCGTCATTTAGGTGGCATTTTTTTTTGTCTTCGATTTGCCCTATGAGTGTCAAGTTTTCCAAGCTCTCCTTCCTCAGTGTGTTTCGGAAACTTCAGCTGTCTCTTTCCGGTTCTCAGAATAATTATCCTTTTTGTTTCTATTTGCCTTTAGACTTTCTCGTTGCCTACGCGCTACGTTCGTGAGATTCTCAGCATCCTTCTGCAGAACCACATTTCAGTTGTTTCCCGTTTTCTCTTCATCTGTGAAAAGATTGTCTAACATTCGCCCGCCCCCCTCTTATAGATTTTGGGCAAAAAAGTATGTGTGCGCTTGAAGTTTAATCCCCTTCCAACTATATGAGTATTTTTGTCCCTATAAGTGTATTTTCGCGTATCCCACCTTGCGATAATTGAAGTAATTAAAACTATGAACACCAATTTTAAAAGTGTGTGCGAAATATCAATTTGTAGACACCATATTGAATTTGATAGTTTGATTCATGTATATTTTATCGAGCGGACTGTCACTGAAAACACCAATATCTCAGTCTGTATAAAGTTATGGAACTGAATTCTCAAGAGCACTAGAACATTTTCGGTACCATTCCAATTTTGATTCTGTCAAAGCATACAGAGATCAGCTCTGTAAATTATCAATAAACTTACTAAATCAAAAATAGTACAAACGTTTAACATAAGCAGGCGTCACCAACCCTCTTTTTACATTGCACCAATTATCTGCTTAAGAATATACTACGATCATCATAATATCATCTGTGAATATCTATGTTGATGGTGCAAAATAATGATATAATCAAGATGCTGACGTTCCACACTACTTCGAACAAAACGTTAGTAAGGAAACACCAATCACTTCTGGAAAGATCAATAACATTTAATGGACTTGAGAAACCTATTTCTATGAAAAATTGTTTCAATTGAAAGATTTTATAAATTCCAATCGACGGCAAGACTGGCTGCTCGGTCAATAAATGCTTAATATTTCCGCATAGCTAATTTTATGCTTATTATTAACATCTATCTTTTATTAACGTCTGTTCAAATCTACCCGTGTCTCTACGAGAGTGAGCCTTTAAGTTTCGTAGGATGTCATATATCAATTGACTTTTGAGCTGAAAGTTAATGTCTAATGTTTGATCGTTGTGATTAATGAAGAAGCGTTGGATTAAAGGCAGTGACAATGAAGGAGATTATGTTGAAAAAATAGTATCGTACAAAATAAAAGTTTTTTAAGCTATGGATATATTGATGTTCTCAATATCTGTTTACCTCTCTCGTATATATTTTATCAGACTGTTTGTATCTCATTACCTCAGTTCAGTATCTATCTATCTATCTATCTATTTGTCTCAGCCTGTTCATTATCTATCTATCTATCTATCTATCTATCTCAGCCTGTTCATTATCTATCTATCTATCTATCTATCTATCTATCTATCTATCTATCTATCTCATCCTGTTCATTATCTATCTATCTATCTATCTATCTATCTATCTATGTCAATTTCCTTGGGCCTTTATCTGCTCTACTTCAGTGTACGTAGCTTCATCTCCCATCCTGCCAATTCATCCTAAGACAATCGTTCCAAAGCCGAAATGCATTTC